AACAAAAGAAAGAAACAATGTTTTGGCCGTGAAATGCAGGTATATACATTATTAGAAGTGGTAGAGTGAGTGTGCCCTCCGTGGGGGTGTCTCAGCCCGGTCAGAGTGTCAGATTCAATAAACACAAAGGTTAAAAAAAAGAGATTCAATAAACACAACGGTAAAAAAAAAGGAAAAACACACATTCAATCGTGATATTGGCTGGATGAATTGTGAATTCCCATGAGTGCCGTTGTGATAACGGTTGAGGAAACACAGCTTCAACAAATCACAAACTATGTCCTGCCTCGTTGGCAGGGGACTTGTGAGAGTAAGAAAAGAAAGGAAAATAAGAAAGCAACAACATCCACAATCTGACAGTGTTAGTAGCAAGATTCATTCTGTGGAGGACTAATGTGAGCACGGCCTCCTAGACTACCCTGCCCGACATCATTGCAGTACGTTTTTTTTTTTTCACGAGCGGGCAATATAAAACCAAACTTTATTTTTCTTGCCGAGCCTCTGGGACTTCCGAACTTATTGGGGACAATGGGAAAACTGTCATTTTCCCCTATTTTCACAACACTGGCGGACGTACTAGTGGTTAATGAATCGCTAGTACACAGCCCCAACCTTGCCGAAACATATTCGTCACCTACTCCAAAAAATTTGCGGCTCGGGCCTACCGGACCACAATGGCTGACGGCGCCAGCCAAAAAAAAAAAAAAAGTGTACCGGTGGTGTAAGGTGGGTGATATGGTCTTGCTCTCGGCATAAGGTCATTCGAGTCAAGAAATGGTTTGCTTCATAAGCTTTTACCACTCTACACACATCCAATTTTGATCCTAGAGTATCTCTCATGTGTAACTTGCTCTCTCAATTTGCCAACAGAACTGTATCTGTGAGATACGATCTATCTTTAGTATTTTGTGTAGCTGTCAGATGACACTTTTAAGCGAGGAAGATTTTCATGACCGGCCGGTCTGAACCAGCCCGTCACCCGGGCATGACACCCGGGGGGGTCTGACGCCCGGGTGACCCGGTCATGGCAAGGGGAAAAAAATAAAAAAAATAAATAAATGGCGGTGGTTTTTTTCCGCGCTCTCCGAGAGGAGCCCAAATCCGGGCTCTTTTCTTTTTTTGAGTGTGTCGGCTGTCAGGGGGGGGAAAGGGGAGTGTAAATGAATTTTAAAGGGGCTAAAGGGGTTTAAAGGTGGGTGCCTTAGTGTGATAAGGTTATTTTCTTTTTTATCTTTAGTTCTGTGAGGAATTCTGATGTGATCCTCAGCCAAAAGTTGTTTCTACACAAAATAATTTTTTTTTCAGATTTTTTTGGACTTGATTTATTTTATTTTTATTTATTTTTTTTGCGCTGAAGCTGCCCGGGCCCATGCCCGGCCGGTCACCCGGTCGCCAATCCGGGCGTGACATCGGGACCCGGGCGGCCGGGATATCTCCTTAGCTTTTAAGTTTTAAGTAGGAGTGTATTCTTGCTAGCCATACCATCCGTCACTATTACTGACACTACGCCTTCACATGATATATAATCAGTGCCCAGTTTCACGTCATATTCAGGCATAGGAGAACATGTATCACCCACGGCCGCGGCTGCGGGGTCGATCCCGGTCGGTGGCCGAGATCTCGCTCGCGGCCGCAGGACGTCGGGGATTTGCCCCCCCTGAGATAATGGGAGGGGGGGAAAAAAGAGGTTGTAGGGTTTCTCAAACCCTACAACCCCTTGTTTTTTTTCAAACCGCTTAGTTTTTCGGCAAAAAAAAAAAAAAAAAAAAAAAAAAACTGCAAAAGAGAAAAGAGAAAAAAATAAATAAATAAAAAATATTTTTTTTTCATTTTTGTTTGCGTGTGTGTGTGTGTGTGTGTGTGCGCGGGCGGGGGGGAGCGACCCCTCCCCCACCAATCAATCAATCAATTGGGGAAAAAGGGGGAAAAAAAAGCACGCAAGTGTGTGGGGGGGGGGGGGGGGGGGGGGGGGGGGGGGAGGCCCCTCCCCCCTCATCAATCAATCAATCACTCAGTCAATCACTCAATCACTCAATCAATCAGTCAATCAATCAATCAATCAATCAATCAACCAACCAATCTCACCATATCAATCAATCACCCAAATCCTAATCAATCAATCAATCAATCAATCAATTAAAAAAATCAATCAGCCAGCCTTTCCTACTATTTCTTTTGGTTTGCTACATTCCTCAATAAGAATCGCCTAGAGGGTTTTATGGTCGGTAGGCTTACGTTTTTTGGCAGTCACGACGTGGCGATGTTGTCTTCCAAGAAGCGGATTATGTCGCAGGCGGTCCGTATTTGCGTTTCCTAATAATACATTTGACAGATGGACCTGTAGGCCGACTTTTGAACTCAACTCGACCGCAATAGTTTGGTCTGGCACTACCGTCGTCGCCCGAATACAACGTATGGTCATTGTTGTAGCTGTATTAGGGGCAACTTTGAGTCTAAATACAGCAATAATTAGTGTGTGTTGTATTCAGGTGAAGACGGTAGCTTGGCTGGAGTTGGCCAATTTTTTAGACGACATAGGGAAACAATCACTGTATGTTGTATTCAGGTGAATTCCTTTCATCCAATTTTCAGCTCATAGTTTTGGCCGACACTTCTGCTGATAATTTATTAATTTCTGATATGTAGTCATTCTGACTCATTCATATTTTTTTGTTGTACGCAATCACTTGGTCGACGACACGTTTCTTAACAACGTGCTCGACCAAATGAACGGTACCTCGTCGTTGTAATGTGTTCAGTATGTGGAAAGATGGACAATCACTTGGTGACTGCACACTTTTGGTGCTCGTCGTGGCTCTTCTTGTCATGGTGTTGGCGTCAGTCTTGCACGACCGCCTCTGGCGTAAGCAAATTTTCCGTGCTCGCAAGCCATCTTGGATTCCCCCATGCTGCGTGGCTTGGAGGACCGCCTATGCCGTAGCATAAGCTAGCAGCGAAGTTGTCAATCTTTAAACCAACAGGGCCTCCGAAAGTCGCTCCTACATGCGGCGGAGGATGAACAAGCGACCACCGGATCACACAAATTCCCTCAAGTCGAAACGCTTCCACTCTATTTTTCCCCCCGGCCGATATACGGGGAAAGGTACTGGTGGTTCAAATGCACACAAACACAAACACTTGCATGTCATTTCAGGGTTCTTTATCTCTTCCTTTTTCTATACGCTCTCGAAGTGTGGCGCATGACCTGGCAGACCGCAATAGACCGTTTGGGCGCAACTAAGCAGAACATTCACATTCAAGTGGCGCGCATGCCACAAAATCGCCGTTCATCATGTCACAAGACTCAGGAGTCACAACCACTTATTCTGTTTCTCTCTTCCAACCCAACCCCCCCCCCCCC